TCGTGCACCTCCAGCCTTCTCAGTCGGTAGAGCATGGGAAGCTGAAAAGTCCTTGGCTAGTGTAAGCACTACTTAGCAACAACTAAAACATCAGTGTGTTATCAACATTGTTCTCGTCCTAAATCCAAAACACAGCACTGTACCAGCTACTAGGAAGGAAATTAACTCTATCCCTGCCAAAACCAGGACAATATTTTACCTCGGCCATCACCTCCCTCACTCGAGACTGAGTATCTGAGTTAGCAATACCAAAAAATTTGAAGCACCATTAGTTCCGAGACAGATCCACAACTTGATAAACATTAACAAGGAAAAGCAGAAAAAAAAGCTTTTACAGAACTTTGAGAATTCAGCTTACTCCTCTATTACACAAGGGAGCTGTTTTTTTAAAATAGTAAGACCATTATTTCTTATTCTTGAGGGAAACAACAACAAATTACTAATTTTTAATTTGAGTTGGTAGATTTAAATTGGTAGTGTTAAAATTCTGGTCCAACAATATATATAAAAACTACAAAAAGTACCCTTAGCAGAAACATACAGAAAAGCTAGCAAAACTGCAAGCTCACACAATGATCTGCACATGAATACAAATTTTCTGAAGAATTTTACCTTCTAAAATGATAGCTAGTTGCTCGGCTGCAGACTTTCGTAAAACTAGGTCAACAGCATCAGAAGTCAAGATGTCATACAGCTTTTCAACAGTTTCTGCCTAAAAGTAAAACTGTATTAGATTTACATCCAGTATGCTATTACAAAACAAGGTAACCAGCCAAATTTCCTAACAGAAAGTAGAAAATGAAAATACCTAAATTCCTTATTAGAACGTATTTGATTAGATTCCACATGCATGTAATAAGAAAGGATTAGGTTATAATCTTTTTAAAACAAATCTCTAATAATACCTGCGGAATATAACAAGACAATAGATTCTAGTGCACAACAGAAACAGATTCCTAACAAATAATGCCTAATTTATGCAGGACTAAAGAAAGCTCAACACTACACAGAAATGCTAGAATATGCTTCTAAGTCTGTGAAGGGGACTGACTTTTTAATGGCAATAGGGCTAGAAAAATTTAAATAATCCTACATATCCATACACATTTCAGGCCCTAACTTTTTGAAGGATGTAGGGGAAGAGTGTAAATCAAGTGTACAATGAGTGATCAGAATACTTTTTTTCAGAGGGGAAGCATCTTAGCATTTGTTTAACATATTGTTGTTAATCTGAAAGTGTTGAGGGTAAAGAAGGAAGGAGAATGAAGGGGAGATGACAAAAAGAAAAAAAAAAAAGAAAAAAAAAAAAAGAGAGATAAATTCTCCCATAGGTCAAATACTTGTGATTTGTTTTTCACTTTGCAAAAGCAGCAATATTAAGAAAACACAGACATAAATTTGTAATCTGTTTTAGAATATTCCATATCAAAAATTATTTGTGCCTGTTTCAGTAAAAATTGATTTTGTGAGGGAAAAAAGCTCTATGTAAGAAAAATCAGACTCTACCCATGCACAATGAAATTGTTGTAAACAGAGCAGGCCTGTGCTCTCTGTACTTAAGTTAACAGCAAGGCTTAACTTACCTGCAGAGAGAGAGGGAAAAAAAAAAAAAAAAGAAGAATAAAGAAGGAATTCTTTTTTTATCGTTGCATATGGTAGCATAAAAACTGCTGTTTAACTTTACATGGAAAGATTTCTTTTTATGAAGCAAGCCAATTTGTATGAAATAGTGTAAACTTCAGAAAGTGATAGCTTCAGTGACTGGGCAGGTAGAAGAGCTGATCAATGATACAATATTTAGACAGAGTTTACTCACCTTAAATATCGACTCCGTTTTATCATCCAATTTTAGCTCAATAGCTCTTTCTATAATAAATAAGTTTGAAATGCGATAGAACGAACCTTTTAGGAGTAAACAAAATAAATATATAAAGTCCTCATACTGGAAAACTTTAGCTGTATAGTTAAAAATTAATTTGTTTATAAAATTAATACAGCCAGGGGGGAAGTACTTGCTCAACTCAATATTGATTAATCTACCTTTCAAATCAACCCACTGCATAATAATCAATTGTTTTTTTAAAATAGACATTTTTGTCATCAACATTAGATGACATGCTGAAATGCTACAGGGTATTACTTACAACTGCTTTTTTGAGAAGAGAAGACGCAGAGCGGCACGTAGTCTAGTAGTTCTAGGGAGAATACCGTCTCCTTTGTCAGAAGTTGTTTCACTCAAAGTGAGGATACAGTTACCTAGCGTATCTTTTGTGTCAGCATAACCCTAAAACAAACAAACAAACAACAAACAAAAATTTCCAAAATTAAAAAAATCCGCTTACTAACTTAGCAAATTAGACAAGGTAATTCCCCTTTTAGGGGCTACGGGAGGGTGGGGAAGGAGGAACACCCCCAAAAAAAGAAAGCAATAACTTTTAAGAAAACATTCAATTTCAGAAGATTAATATTCATCTGTAAAAACAATTTTAAAAGTTAATAAATGATCCTGTACACAAATCAAAATAAAATTTTTACATGGCGCAGAGGTACTTTGACCTGAAGCTTTACCCTTCAATCTATTAACATGATGCTGCTCTGTAAGGTCAGTTTCCGTTTCAAATTCAGTTCCTACAAGAAAATGTCTTCAAAACATTAAATCCTATCTATTTTCAGATATTTAGTCAAAGCATTTTCACACACAACCAAGACAAACCAGAATCAGTTACGTCAAGTAATGATACTGCAAACATTTAAACAGTAGAATAAAATACAAGGCATTTTATATGCATCGAGTAAACACAGGCCTTCTGTATGCTCTGCTCAAGTATCTATTGTATGTAGCCACTACAGGCTATAGTATAGAGGAAAATTCTACTCACAGAAATGAGAGCAGGGTAAATTCTTTCTCACATGTTTAGCATACAGCTTATATTAAACCCCCACCTACCTAATCTTGAATATCAATGGCAGATACGTATGTGGGTAAAACAGAAAAGCTGACATTACTGGGCAAGAAAGCTCTGAAGTAACCTTTCTCCCACCACTTTCAAGTTCTCAGTGTATTTCCTCTGCATATTTTTCTGTCTGAGCCTTCTACTTCATGGCCCATCTTCTTTGCAATTTCTCTCCATTTTTGCCTTGATTTTTGTGCAGTTTATGTAAGGGCTTAAGTTACATAAGCATTTTTTTCGACTTATGGTAATACCAAGGTGCAGGCAATGAATGAATATATAGCAGTGATATGAATAAGTAGGTATAATTATCTAGAGTGATATTTTTGGAGGGAAAAAAAGACAAAAAGTATACTTGGATGTATTAGCTAAGTTAAATAAAAGACAGAAATAAGGAAAAAAAAACAGACGTCAGGAGAAACAGACATCAGATAGGTGCAGCAAAATATCTAACCTGGAAGACTATAGGCAGATCATAGAAGGGAAATTTCTAGCACTAGAGAAAAAATAATTAAGAAATTGGATGGAGCAATTAGGCTGAAAATCAGCCTGAGAAAAGCAAAAGTTCCCATTAGATCAAGCCAAGAGTAAAGATAACGAAAAGAAAATTTGCACATTGTTACAGATATAAAGACTAAGGTCTAAGGTTAATACTAACTGTTGATATTTCTAATAATATTGGAAACAAACAAATCAAAAAAACAATCATCAAAATATACAGAAAATACGGCTTTCACCTACTGCTATTTATTGAGCGCATACTTGATCAGAAAACGATATAACCATCACAGAGAAGTTACAATTATCAAATTTAAGATATGGGGGAAATTCTAATAATTATTAACTAATTTTTAAAAGCATGCAATGTTTTAATCTATACTTGGATTATCCACTCATATCTTCAAACCATTTAAGTCCCTGTCAATACTTGCTGATTTCTACTACAACATCTCAAAGTTTCACATTCTAGTAATACCAGGCTAAAATTTGTCTACAAATGCAAAGTAGTAACTTTGACTGGCATTAGGACCCCTATAAAACATTTCTCCATTTGACATCTGACAAAACGAGTCTGTAGGTATATTACTGTTAATCTATTTTCCACCTGCTACTTAGGTGAATATTCTGTTTGTTGTTTAACATGACAGTGTTGCTGTTTACATGATTTCATACATCAAATTCAGATTAAAGCACTTAGAAGTACCTGTAAAACAGGAATGATGGGATAGAGGGCCTCAATAAACTTGTTCCAAGTCAATACTGTCATTACTAATCGTCCCTGCAATAGATGCATCAGAATGGCCTCGGCTGTAGAGTTCACCTGCTCAATAAAAAGAAAGAAACTAATGCAACCACCAATGTGTCTAGGTCAGTTTGTCAATGCTGTAATTGGAAATGTTATACAAAAACACCCCAAAGAGGATCTACAGATAAAATATTGTCACTGCAGAATGCTACTTTTAAATTGTCAGTCACACTAAACATTAAGTTGTTAGAAAAGCCTCGCAGAGAAAACACACAAATAGTTCTGCCTAAATAACACCCAATCATTTTCCCCTCAGAACTCTGGTTTGTTTTTTCTGAAATAAATCATTACTTCAACTTATACACCTATTGGTGCCTCTACCCTGCAGGTAAAACAAATTCTGTTTCTTTTCTTTCCTGACCATACACTTCTGAGGCATTTCATTCCCAGTCTTTATGATATGCTTCTGAAGACCCAGGAAGAAGAAAGACTTAAAACCTGTTACATGGCCATTTTTCTTTCTTGAGGAAAACAGTCAAACTAAGAAGGTTACCAAATATTTCAAGTTGTACATGAATTCATCTGAAGCTCTTTATCAAAAAGGAAAAAAGGTATATGATACAGCACTTATACTGTATTAATGTAACCTGTGTACAGTATGTAATGTATACTATATGCAATATGAAAGTATTTACAAGCTAACTTTATTACTACAATGGGAACAGAGGGAAAAAAACCCCAGCTTCATAGAATTCACTCTTCCTTATATAGTGTAAAAACACCTACCTTCAGCAGCTAAAAACCTACATTTTATGCCAGAGCTAAAAATCCTCTCACCCCTGGCAACAAGAACAGCCTTTAATAATATCACTCTAGCCTATCTTTAAGGGACTGTATTTGTAAAATCACATGGCAAATCTTAAGCCCAACCTTGGAATACAAGATTCTTCTCAATTTCTTCTCATTGTCACATGCCTGAAAGATTAAACTGATGCTTTATAAAAACTTAAGTAGCAGATATATATCAAAGAAGTAAAAAAAAAAATGCTTGGATATGATCTTCATCATATATTTTGTTAAAAGAATAATAATAATGCATTATAAGGTAAAGAGAACAAAGTGAGATAATTTTGTAAACATGCATTCTCTGCCTCAACGATCTTTTTAAATTCAATATCAATTGAAGTCTATTTGTTAGGCTTAACCAACCACTAAAAGAGAAAACTGGCAGTCTTTTAATAAGGCGTCCAAGGGAGTAGTCAAACAAAATAAATGCTTTCCTTGGAAAAGATAAATTACATATAAAGTATAAATACAAATACATAGCACATTATCAAAGATATTTTACTTCTCCTTTTAAAATGCTAACGTCTAAAAAAAATCACTGCTGAATGAAATTGTGCACAGTACTGCGTTAAAGAAAAATCTCGTTTCAGGAGACAAGCTGAAAAAAATAAATAAAAATTTGTTAGTCAATGTTCTTTCCCCTCTGACCGTAGGGACCTTATAGATCAACTATAAAGTAGTTATAAATAACCTAACTAATTTTTCCCCCTCTCAGAACTCTCTACTTAGCTTTATATGTAAGCTAGGAAATAGTGGATTATGTTCAGCATGCACACATATAAATTAATCCAATGGAAATTTGGTCCTATTCTATAATACTATAAAACACTTCTATAATACTCAGGTAATTAAATTTAAACACAGATGTGTTTGTAGTGATGAAATACATTTTTATAGCAAAGACATTGCAGATTTAAAAAATCTTTTTGCTCCTCAATCAATGCACACCTTTGAGAGATCATACCACCTTTACAAAGACTTGAGACTTCATGTTTTCTGTAAACATAAAGCATCATACACACTATTTCATCATATGCACATTTTATTAGGACTGAATATATTACAGGAAAAGATTAAAAAACATAGCTTATTTCATTTTTCATTTGTCTTTATTACATTTAATAGCTTCCTATGCTTAGAACATTATTTTGTCTCTGAATTCGTCATAAAAAAAAAATCTTTCCATTTACTACAACTTCACTGTTTGCATAGCTTTTCTGTATACATGAAACAGTATGTAGTCAAAACTTCAGGTAAGCCTCAGACCACCATGGAGAATATCAACATCGACTTTGCATGCATATCAACTTATAAATATAGATACTAAACACAGTACCTCATTCTTATCTTCCTGAAGGCCAAACGTACAGATTTCATATAAAACTTTTGGATGAAGAAGAAAATTTACTCCGTGGCAGATTGAAGACACAGGCTTCGCAATATTATGAATACCTAAACAGTCCTTCAGTAAAAATAAAGTTGGTTAGTTTTAAAATTCAAGATAGTCTCCACTACTACATCATGGTTTATAGACTACCTGAAGTTGTTATCCAGTGAAAGGCTTTCTCCATGCAGTTTGGAAGACTACAGTTCTGAAAGCTAAACATTACAGCCTTGGAAGAAACACTGTCTTTATAGATCACTGATTGCAAATTCCTGTTGTTACACAAGACTAAGAAATACAAAATAATTTTGTTTTTATTTTAAATAATAGTGAAAATAAATTAGACAAACTTTATATGCTTGGTATGACATTAAAATAAGTAAAACTTGAAACAGGCACGTAAATATCTCATGAAAAGATACAAGTGTCATTCAGTGGAGATAGCGGGTTTTTTTGTCAAAGACTAGCTCCAGCATCTTTGTACGTTAGTGAATTGTGCTATAAGAACAGTAAGTTTAGCTGATGTCCATTCTAGAAAATAAGAATTACAAGAAAGTATTATATCAAAATAGAAACGTGACTATTATTTTCTAAGCCAATATTACTAAATACCTAAAATGACCTGATGAATACGACATTGCCGTTCTTTATATAGAGTACAGCCATACTTCTAGGAAGTTCACACTCTTTATCCCTTGGGCTATCTGTATAAAAAACTTAGGTAGTGACAAAATACCCATATAAAACAAAATCAAAACCACAACAACCATCCCCCCAAACAACAACAACAAATTAAAGTTTTAAAGTACATAAAACGACTTACATGTTCTTAAACACAACCCAAGATTTTATACATAGGAAAAAAGAGCTGTTTTTCTTTCACATTTTTATAAGGTCTAAGCAATTAAAGCGTAATCTAGGTAAAAAATACTTATTCTGAAAGTGTCAGTATTTTATTAACATGTTATTGTTTTATTTTTCCTTCAGTAAACATCCTTGCAAAAAGCAGAAAAGCAGTCAACTCAAAATTATTTTTGCTTGGCTACAAAAAAAAAAAAGAACAAAAAAACCAAAGGGAAGTGAAAAATCGCTATGAAGGGAATAGAATATGTCCTTGAGGAATGGGCCTATGTGAACCTCATGAGGTTCAACAAGGCCAAGTGCAAGATCCTGGATCAGGGCAATCCCCAGTATCAATACAGACTGGATGATGAATGGATTAAGAGCAGCCCTGTGGAGGAGGAGTTGCGGATACTGGCTGATGAAAAGCTGGACATGAGCAATGTGCGCTCGCAGCCCGGAAAGCCAATCATATCCTGGGCTGCATCCAAAGAAGCGTGGCCAGCAGGTCAAGGGAGGTGATTCTGCCCCTCTACTCTGCTCTGGGGAGACCCCACTTGGAGTACTGCATCCAGCTCTGGAGCCCTCAGCACAAGAAAGACATGGACCTGTTGGAGCGGGTCCAGAGGAGGGTCACAAAAATGATCAGGGGGATGGAACACCTCTCCTATGAAGAAAGGCTGAGAGAGTTGGGATTGTTCAGCCTAGAGAAGAGAAGGCTTTGGGGAGACCTTATTGCAGCCTATCAGTACTTCAAGGGGGCTTATAAAAAAGAAGGGGGGCAAGCTTTTTAGCAGGGCCTGTTGCAACAGGACAAGGGGGGATGGCTTTAAACTAAAGGGGAGTAGATTCAGACTAGATATAAGGAAGGAATTGTTTACGCCAAGGGTGGTAAAACACTGGCACAGGTTGCCCAGAGAGGTGGTGGATGCCCCGTCCCTGGAAACATTGAAGGTCAGGTTGGACGGGGCTCTGAGCAACCTGATCTAGCTGAAGATGTCCCTGCCCATGGCAGGGGGGTTGGACTAGATGACCTTTAGAGGTCCCAACCCAAATGAGTCTGTGATCCTATGAACCTCATTTCAGCAGACAAGCAAAACTGAACACCTGAATTCTTTTCAAAAGCAAAATTAAATAGAAATATTTCTGTATAACAGCAGCAAAAACCCAAAGTGACAAGCATTATTAAGAATCCTTTTGAAAAATAAAATGGTCAGTCACTGTTTTTCCCCCTATAGAGATCCTGTCATTCTGAAGTGCAGTACCTGAAGCATAACCTAACCAAGTAGATTTAATACCAAAAATATAACAGCAAGCCCAGGCCTATACAGATTTCACAGCATATAACACAGTAAACAGAATTTGCATTAAAAATGCTTTTAATGAGGAAATCATATAATACGCATTATTTAGCGCAAGACCAAGATCATTAAGTAAGCATTAGTTCTAACCTTAACTACTTCCAAACAGCAGTGATAGGCTTCAGTTTTTATATTCAGCAAAGGATGAGATAATAGACGGAGAAGCACCTTCTGACCCTCAGCCTGGAGCAATGAGCCAGCCTCAGACTTCCAACTAAAAATGAAAAATAATTAATTTAACTATTATTTATTTTACAGAACCCAAAGATGTCTACAAAAATTTTCCTGTTAAATTGCAGGATGATCTCCTTTCAGTATTTTTTCCTTGTAGAGGTAAAAGTCCATCTCACTATCACAAAGTGAACTGATGTTAGTTAAAAAATTGAAGTGAATTTCCTGTTGCCTGAAACAGTAATCAAACAATAATTAATTCTAAAAGCATTAGAACACTGAGAAGTGTTCATAATTCAAAAATGCTTATTAGAGAGCTCTTAAATGTAGTTTCCTTTGAAAAAAATCCCTAACGTCAAATTCTGACCCAGTATAAATTTTTTGTATTGTATTTCTAATTAAGTGTTCAATACAGAACTTTTCCAGGCACCACAGGATAACTTAAATAGAGACATGGTAAAAAATTGAAGTGAATTTCCTGTTGCCTGAAACAGTAATCAAACAATAATTAATTCTAAAAGCATTAGAACACTGAGAAGTGTTCATAATTCAAAAATGCTTATTAGAGAGCTCTTAAATGTAGTTTCCTTTGAAAAAAATCCCTAACGTCAAATTCTGACCCAGTATAAATTTAAGATTTTGTATTTCTAATTAAGTGTTCAATACAGAACTTTTCCAGGCACCACAGGATAACTTAAATTCTCTAGAGACATGGAAAATCTAAAAAGGAATAAAAACATGCTGTTTAATAAATGAGATGCCATATTGTAATATACAGCATCTACAATAAAATAAGTCCTTCAGGATTTCTGAAAGTAAAATAAAAATAAGTTACACAAATACACTTGGAAAGAAGGAATTAAAAAAAAGTTTGAAAGACAGGTCAAAGTGTTTTAAGACTGTTTCTTTGTAAATCACATAGTAACTTTATATACAAAATCATAAAAGCTTTACATAGAAAAGAATAAAACATTAGTTTTTTAGCACCTGAAATTCAATTTTCAAGAAATGACACAAATTATTTAGAAGAGACCTTTCAATGGTTAGAAGAAAACAATTGTTCAAATACAGGGAATAAATAGGTTGAGCTTCTAATTGAGAAAGTTTACCCATAAAAAACATTGTATTTTCTCAAGTAAGAGTTTTAAATAGTAATGTACTCACATATCTGAGCATATGTGAATGCATTCCTGAAGCAAGGGAAAGTGTTGATGGTAGGGTAGACTACTCAAGGCCTGATCTGCCAATTCTACTAATTCAGAAAGATTCTTGTCCCCCTGAGAAGTAAAATGAAGAGAAAGAAACTATCAGAATTAGTAATACTGAAAACATACAATGTTATGGTATAATCTTGCAGAATTTGTCATCATTTAATATATCTACTAACTAGACTTTGTTTCAGCCTTTCACAGAGAAGTTTATAATTAACCTGGTCAACAAATTCAACAGATTTCAAACAAATAAATTTTAGAACCTACTCCTGGGAGCTGAAAACACTTCAGCTGCTGAAACCAAATAAACTTCTATTAAACTCAATGGGAATAATATATGTCTAACATTTCACAGCATGAACACTATAACTATTCTAAACACTTTCTAAAATGCCCAAGAATAGACTTATCCTTGAATAGTTTATGGTTTTAATAAAATTATTATTTTTTTAATTCAATATGCATTTTATGTAAGAAGAGTATAATGAAAGATTTAACTATTAAACTTTTAACAATTCACTATTAAATTAAAGAGCCAAGTTTTTTGGGTTTTTTTAATATGTAAGTACATATGTCTTCATACTTTTGGTTACCAAATACATTAAACATAAGCCATTTAAATTCGATGGAGTTAACTTCACTGTAAATAGTATTTTATGAGCAAAGTATTGCTTCTATTAAGTTTCATATCTGCCTATATAAAGGATAGATTAATTCAGATTTAAGATAGCACTACATTTATATTGCTGTATTTTATTCATTTATTTTAGTATCAATGGAACAAGTAGTTTGCACAATTACTTGTCCACTTGGATAATGGAGAAGAATATTTTGATACCGTGCTAGAATCTCTTAACTAATAAAGCAAAGTATATTAGTTGTCTTCATAACAAAGTGAAACACACAAATCTCACACAGTCTATAAGTAGTTGTTTATCAGAGCTACAACTGCCACATAGTTGGGAATTAAAATTTTTTGATCTATTTAAATACTGGACAACATACATACACACACACAGACTATATTTAAATAGAGTATCTGCTTCTTCCTTACTTCTTTGCCCATAAAAGGTCTTGTGCCCACTTCCAAACTCCACATGTTTATTTCTTTGTTTTTACTTAGGATAAATTTTTTTACAAACATCATGAGGAGTATTAGTGAAAACAAATATAAATTAACTACATCTTGCATGGTACGGAATAGTCATACTTAGGATTTTCTTCAGCTATGCTAGATGATAGTTTTTACCACAGAGAAAGGGAAGTAGAGGAAAGAAATTTGCCTACATGAAACATTTTATATAACAAAATTCCACACCTCCTTGTGAACTTCAGTCATAAAGCTACAAGTGCATTCAATCGAATAGGCAGCTTCTGAAGCTTGTTTATAAATACTGTAGTTCTCAGTACTCATCTGCTCCAGATAGGCTGCAATGGATTCATGAATTCTTGGGTATTCCAAGGAGAAGGACACGTCCATAGAGAGAAGAAATAAAGCGTTCAGCAAACTCTTTTGTAAAACTTTACTTGCCTTTGAAAAAGAAAACAACTGTCAGAATAACAGCCTGAAAATACAGTAAAACCAACAACAGCATTTGCAGTCATTCAACAAGTACAATCACTATTGCTGCTACTTAAAAATTAGAGAAAGACACACATATCAAATGAGTTCTATACGAAGATTTTTTTCAGCCACAGCACTAACCACCACATGTACCACTGGCCAGGGTCAATTTACTGTCTAACCACTAGATGGCAGAGAATACACAGACCAGAATTATTTCTGTTTTTAATAAAGAGCTGTCTACAATTCCACGTAGTAATATCACACGCTAAACTGGGATTTCTGTTGTTGTTGTTTTGTTGGTTTTTTTTTTACTGCAAGTGTTCACTATTCCTTCAACTAAAATTTTGACCTCAAATACAGTTACTTTTTTCCAACTCCTATCATACACAGAATTGAAATTTTGTATTATGTACATAAGAACATAAAGACAAAAATCATAAAAAGTCATTAGATTAGTACATCTACACTTACTTGCAGGTACAAGACACTACTTATATTAATAGTAAAAGACATAATATTTGTGATGAAAAGCCTGTAACTGAAAATCAATCTGCTACTCAGACTGAAGAATGTCTAAAAAAGAGCCACACTGCAATAAAAACTGATCCAAAAAAATGTAAACCCATACAGGTTTAAACATCTTCTAACACTTTCCATCCCACAAAAACTTCCAAACATCAGACCCCCCCACCTGAAATAAAGAGAAAAAGAAAACAAAACCACAACTCAAGAGCTACAACAGAACTTTTAAAGAGCATTGGAAGCAAAGAACAATTAAAATCACTATGATGTATGAAACATAATTGCTTACTATGTTCCATCAGATTAAGAGTGATGATTTTAAATATTATGTAGTCCTAGTCTTACTTAGTCTTACTTGCACGCATACTATAAACAAGCAGAGGGCAGTATAGCTTTGCAAACCATGCATCATATCAGAAAAAACACTATAGGAGGAAAAAGAACATTGAATTTCAAAAACTAATTAAAAAACTGTATTAAAAATATTTTTGAAGATTTGAAGTCTGCAGAAGATTCTGCAGAATGCACTGGTAACTGTAGAACAGACAGAGTTGCCTTCTGTGATCAGCCAATGTAAATCAGATTAATTTCTCTCTCCAGTGATTTTCCCAGTATTAATCACTGAGGAAGGTATCACTTTTTGCCCTCTTAAAATGCAAAACCGAAGGACAATCACTTAAAATTAGTGACAGTATACCTTTTCTACAGGGAGAAGTATTTGCAGCAATCTAACAGTGAAGAGTGAAATGCTAATAAATGCCATTCTGTGATGCACCAACATCACCTCGGGCTGCTCTGCACTTATATTGGTTTTGTGATATAATATAGTTTCTCCAAGCAGACCCAAGACCAGAAGCAATTTGTCTTTCTGAAAACAAAATCAGAAATACAATCATTAGAAATAATTGAAACACTACTGCATCTTTACAGTGTTTATACAGCACCCATAGCATCATTAACACAATTATACCAAATAATTTAAAAATGCAGAAAAGGTACAAAATACACAGCATTTTGTTTGTCATCTGAACAGAACTGCACATTAGTTTAGACCTCACTCTACCTTCACTTGCAGTTCTGAATACTTTGGTCAGTAATTACCTACTACTGGTGACTCTCCCGCCTCCCCTGCTTCCCCCCCCCCCCCGCCCACCCACACCCACCCCCTC